CTGTTGTTTGAGCTGGGCAAACAAGCTGATGATGGCGTAGCAAAGATGTATTTTTTAGCTTCTCCGGATTTGATAATGTCGATGCAGCGGACAGTTTGAGTTCTTCGATAGATAGTATAGCGAAAGGGTTTGTCTAGCTTCTCTTTAAGCGATGCATTCACTTGTTGTTGTTTTTAGCGTTTAATTCTCTAAATTGTGTTTGTTGAGCAGGTGTACGATCCTCGCGAACAAATACACCTTTAAACAAGGAACTCAAAAGACGATTGCCGGTACGTAAGACCTCTGCGGCCTTGTTGCTACTTTCAAATGAAACAAGTAACAAATTTGACGAGTTCATTGTTTTGTTAAAAAGTTGATGGACTTTTTCTGACTTTATCAGCATTGAAACCATTCGCTGCCAGGAAACTCATGGCAACTTTTAAATTATTGGTGGTTTTGGAGTCGACAATCAGGCTAGATAAAACAATATTTTTCAGACGCTCGGACCTATCAATCGTGTCTTGAGCAACGTAGTTGACAAGTTGATGACGTTGTTTAATATTTTCTGAGGAATTCTCTTTGAACAAGTTTGACAGTAGTTGGCAGAATATTTTCAAGATCAGCAATTCTTTTTTCAAGAGAGTTAATAAAGTGTTTAGTGCAGAGTGAATTGCGGCTTTTAGTATGCTACCAACAGATTGCTTTTAGGTATTGTTAAAGGTGGCACTTGGAAAAACAATATCAAGCGCAGCCTCGACGTTTAAAGTGTTCATTTTGTCGTTAGTTTGTATATGATTAATATACTTGATATATTTATATATAATAGTAACTTTTTCGTATATGTAAATATTTATTTAAGCATATATGTATATATATTTATGTATATTAATATATTTATTATGAATATAAATTTCATATATATATTTATATATATATATATAATATAATATAATATATTTTTCGCCATAAAGAAAATATTTACAAAATTAGACTTTAAAAAACTGTATATACACGGCTAGGGCAAGAAGAAGACAAATTCAGTTTTATCGCCATATATATATATATATATATATATATATATATATATATATTATATATATATATATATATATATATATATATATATATATATATATATATATATATATATTGCGGGCGCCCGCAAGGGGGGCAAGAGGGGGCTTTTGCCCCCCCTTCCCCTGTATTTTCTAAATATAGAAAAAAATTTTCTTGATTCATGCCATAAAGTTTGTGACTAAATTTTTCTGTAAAAAATATCTTTTAGTGATACTTCGTTACAGTTTCGGAATAAACCTAATTAAGTTTTTATCTTTATTTTATATCATACATATCTTATATACATATCTTATATACATATCTTATATATACATATCTTATATATATATATATATATATATATATATATATATATATATATATATATATATATATATATATATATATATATATATATATATATATATATATATATATATATATACATAGGCGCCCGGAGAAAATTTTCTAAGGGGGGGGGGGGGGCAAAACATTTTTTGTTATAGCTTTTTTTCCTTTTTTTAAAATTATTCTCAAAATTAATTAAATAGAACAAAGAGATACTTAATCGATAATAAAACTACCATTGATCTTAATCGACAATAAAACTTAATCGATATATTACTACCTTAGATCTATTGTTTAAATCTTCGCAGTTCTGGCTCTTTCTACCTGAACTTGCTACAACATATTATCTATGAAATGTTATATCTTTGTCTAAATTTGCTCATGTACCAGAATGTTCCTCATGTTACTTGTCAAACTTCGCTTATGTTCCAGAAGTCTTAAAGTGGTCCTATACCATCAAACTTGTGTCACTAATGTTTGACCTTAAATCGCTTTTTAGTGCATAGTATGACCAGATATAAAAAAGTTAAAAAAATTAAAAAATTATAATTTTTTTTTACGGGCTTATAAACCATGCGAGGACCCGAAATACCCCAATTATTGTTTACTTAATAACTTTAAAACCATATTTACTCATTGAATAAAATTTCACAAAAAGTTTTGTATTACTATGAAGAACAATTTGAACTATAATCAATTAAATTTATTGAGTAGTTTATATTTTATAGATAAAAAAACCATTTATATCAAAAATTGACTATAGTTACGTTAGTTCTTTGACCAAAATTTCAAAAAATACAAAGTAAAAAACTTTCATTTTAGTTCAGATTGTAGATCAAACCTAAACAAATAACTTGGGAATTTTGAGGTCAAATTGTAAAGTCTATGAAATTTTATTCTGGAAACGGTGACTAAAAATAAGCAAAAATCAAAAACTGGGAAAAACAAAAATAGGAAACTAAATAGAAAAAAACAAGCATCAAAATAACATCACACACAAAAAAATCATTATGCTCCAGTCATACAAGACTCACATTTATTTGTGTTTGTCTGTGCATCAATAAAACCTTTTCTTTTAGCTCTTAAAATTTTTCTTTGCTTATTACAGGAACTACTTGACTTATTGTTAGCTTTTTTTTTATTCTGCATAAATCTCGTTTTGGACCATTTATGCAAAATGAAGCTCCAGGAGTAATGTTTAAAAATATAAATACATTATAAAGCCCATTAAAACCATTATTAAAATGAATATTTGCTGAACAAACACCAATTTAAGTTTTTTTTTGAGTGCAATATTGACTTTTAGAGCATCGAGACAAAACCTTTGCATTGAGTGATTCTTTGACATTCTGGGTCATTCTATGTAAACATTTAATCAATAAAATATCAGCACTTAGCTTCATAAAAACTAGTTTTAAAACATAATAGCATTAGGCAGTGACAATTTAGGTTCATAATTTAACCTATAGGTTATACGTTCATTAGCAGCAGTCATATATGAATCTAATATTTTGTTGTTAATTTTGTTATAAGATTTATAGAATCTGCTAAACTTAGTCTACGTGAAAAGGTCTAAATTAATGCATGACTTTTGCCTATTTTTCGAAATGCCATCACACATCTAGTATTAATGTCAAAACATTTTTGACCTTTTTTATTTGGTAAAATAATTTCTTTAGAGGTAAAAATATTTTTACTCCATTGACAATAAGTACAGGATATTTTTACTCAATTGACAATAAGTCTCAGTTATTTACCCATCCTTACTTTTCAGTTGTTAAATTTTGAGTACATAATCCCATTTGATTACATTCTGAGCAAACTGAATACAAACATATTGTTTCTGCCAAAATATTAAAGTTTATTAGCAAATAAGATATATTCAAATCTGCTTCCTTCACATTATTATTTTTCAATTTTAAACTACTCGTTGAACATGGAGCTTTATTTATAATGATTTCAGAAGTAGAAATTGGATTCTTTATTGTTTCTGGAGGAGCAAATACAAATCGACTTCCATGATATACTCTTTTTAATGGTTTATAACCTGAATTTCTTTGACCCATTACAAAATTCTAACTTTGACCCATTACAAAATTCTAACCACGTGCTTCATTTAATTTGTTTGAATTTAGTAAATTGGTACAATTTACTAAATTCAAACAAATTAAATGAAGCACGTGGTTAGTATCGTTTTTTTCTTGCAAAGTATAGTCAAAAAATGAGTTTGAAAGTTGGCAATCTATACTTTCAAAATGCTTTGGTTACAATTTCAAACATTTATTTTAGCAGTGGGTAAAAAAGATCAGAGAAAATTTTTTTAGTTTTAAAATGCCGTAGCTATGGGCGTAAGTATGGAAAACATTCTCAGCACTTTATTTAGAATTAAAAATATACCAACTTAAGCTAATTAATTAATTACAATTATTAAAAAATCATAAAATTGTATAAATTTTGGAAAAAAAAAAAATATTGAATTTTTCTATTTTTAATGGTATAGGACCACCTTAATAAGGTTCTTAAACATTGAGTTTTTTTTTGAGATTATTTTAGTTTTATCAATACTTTAATGGTATGGACTACAAAAATTAATGCAGAAAAGCCTCATGTAAATTATCATGATTAATTTCACAAAACTCTTAAATAATAGGATCAATATGAACTTTTTTCATGACAAAGGTAAGCGATGAAATATTGTTTGTAATTCCGAGTTCGATTCCTACTACGTCCCTGGCAGTACCGCGCTCAACTTGTTTCTCCACGCAGCGGCCTTGTTCGTCAAGGTTCGTGTTTCGGAGTTATAGAGTTGAGAGAGGGTCATAACCACTATTAAGTAGCCTCCTCGTCTGTAGTGGCCTTCTCGGCCTTGAGGAGGTGATATTGTGCGAGTTTTATTCGCACAATATGCCGTAAAATCATGCATATTTTGGTTTTCGTGGTTTTATAATTAGCCTACATTTCTTTAAACATTTTTTGAATTTAGGTGTTTAAGTGAAAAATTTTGTAGAGCTAATGTAGTGTAAAACTTGTTAAAAATAATAAATTGAAAATTTTACAATTAAAAATTTTAAATTTTTTTCACTGCTCTTATATATACTTATTAATCGAAAGATGTTAAAACTACTGAGGAATCTAGTAGTATTTCTTAGTTTTTAAACTAAACTTATTATCAAAGTGGTACCCCATTATAATAAAATAAAATTTTAATAAAATAAAAGTCAAATTTGAAGTGGTTTTTTTGTTCACAGATTAAATAAACCTTTAACATTTTAACATTATGATTACCAAATCAGTATTTTTATCCCGTAACAACATGGCAAAAAAATTTAAAAAAACAATTCAAATTTCTGAAAAAATTTATTTACTTTAATGCGACTGTTGCGCCATATTTAGAGCGCCATCTTTACAGCTTTATAGAATCAGAGATTCATGGAACCAGTGACATATATTATATTATAGATTATTTATTATGAACAAAAAATTCATGCGCATCTTAAGGATATTTAAAGCATTTAATAAGTATATGAAAGATTCAATGAAACAAATATTAAAAAAAGTTAAAAAAATGTTAATTTGTCAAGTGAATAACTGTTATATGAATTAAAAGATCAAAAAAATAAACCAATACTTAATGATCTTTGATATTGTGAAAAAATTTACACTTAAATAATGTAAAACTTTACACTTTAAAAAAATAAAATAAATGGAATGCAAAATCATCTTTTTCGAGATTTATAAATATCTTTAAACCAAGATGCAACTCTATCTTTGTCTTCGTCCGTCCAACGTCTAATAACTGGTTCTGTTGTATACTCTTCGGCCTCCATATTCTCATCTATAGTACTATAGGCAGGAGGGTAGTCACGAAGAAATTTGAGACCGTTCCAATGTAACTCATTCTCCCATTTTTCATGACGCAACACTTCAATCTTTTGAATAAGAGGCGAGTAAAAAGGATAACGAATTTCCAATGGCTCATCAAATAGGACATTTCGTAAAGTAAAGTTTGCCCCTTTCATATTTTGCTTATAGTTTTTGTGAATACATATACCAACAAATCTAAAACAAAACACCAATTAAAACATAAATTAAACTTTTTTAGAATGCTTCAAATACATTTCACAAGAATTTTATGACTTGGTATCGTAGATATTAAAAGAATATTCAAGTTGACTTAAGTGATTAAATTAATAATATAAGTATGTTAGTCAAGAGCCTGTGGAACATCATTATCGTTTTAACATTCTTGTTTACGCGCTGGCACGGGTTAGACGTTACGACTTTTACTTCAAATATATATTTTCATTAAAAAAAAAAACCTGGTCCAGCCTTCTGGAGCTAAACGATCTGCTCTTGTCACTTTTATTATACTTCCGACACAAAACTGAGGAATTTTTAAATTTTTTCTTCTCATCCACATATCACGCTGTTCCAAAAAATTAAGTAGGTCAAGGCGAGCTTCTTCAGGAGTGGAAGGAAATGAGTTACTGCAGTCTTGCTCATCCCATACATACCTGGAAATTTTTTAAAATAACAACTAAATTTAATAAAACAAAAAGTTATAAATTATTTTTACCCACCTAAACTAACTGAATATATTTTGGGAAGCGGAAGCCAAAAAATGAATGAAAAAAAATTCGCATTAATATAAAAATATTAGTAATTTATTTTATTCATTAATATGTAAATATTAATAATAAAGTTTAAATTAAACATTATTTCACTGAAAATTAATAAAAATTTTAATATTAAAATATATAACCAATTTGTTTTTATTTGAACTGATTGACACAATTAAAAATGTTTGCAACAATTTAAAAAAATTCCAGAAACTTTTGTTTTAATATTTTAGTTACTTATTTAAAATATTTATACAGGATAGTATAACTTTAGAAAAAAAAATTCACCTCTTATCGATGTTTGTCCTTTTAAAAAATTATTAAAAAAGAATAAAAATTAAAAATATTAAACAAAATAATCACTTGAAAGTTTTTTATATATCTTGAAATCTTTTGATTGTCTAGTCGTTATTGCAATATATTTAAAATTTAGAATTAGTAATTTAGTAAAATTTAGAATTTTTTTTTTTCAAAAATCAAAAATTGAAAATTTTTTAAAAATTAACCTTGAAAAATATGATTGTCATTTAAGTACACAAATGACACCTTGCAGATGCAATACACCCTGCAGGTACGATTCATAAATTGATGCTCTATGCACGAGTTTTGTGTTTTTATGCATACTACTGACATATAACTACAATTACATGTTATACTAGAATGAATTTGTTCTAAACATCTGCTCAACATATCTTTTGTTTTGTTATTCTTTTTCTCAGTTTCTTCCTTACTTGGGGTTGACAGCTCAGCTATTTGATGCAAATACTTACATTTTTACAACTATTTATGATTGAACTAAAGGTTTTCCCTTTTCTATTATTTTAGCATTGTAAACATTTAAATATCCCTTTGTGGTGACTTCAGTACATACATAAATTGAGAGTACAAGATGTATGAAAGACATCCACTAGCATTTTTGCCGTAATGATAATAAAAAAATTTATTGTTTTTTGATATGTTGATGGAAATAAAACATAAAAAAGTGAGAATAAGTTTTGGTTACTGTTAAATGTACAAAAGTTTTAAATTTATTTAAATTAGTCTTTTTACCATGCATTCCATTTTCAACATTTAAAAACATTATACGAAAACTTAAATTAATAGAAGTATCTTCATTTCAGTAACTAAAATTTATTTTAAAGTTCTTTATGTTTTATTTCCAGTTAGTTTTTATGTTTCATTTTATTTCTTAAATGTCAGTTATAATTTGTTTAAAAATACTTATAAAACTTATAGCATAATATATATATATATATATATATATATATATATATATATATATTATATATATATATATATATACATATATATATATATATATATACATATATATATATATATATATATATATATATATATATATATATATATATATATATATATATATTTATGTTTCATTTTATTTCTTAAATGTCAGTTATAATTTGTTTAAAAATACTTATAAAACTTATAGCATAATATATATATATATATATATATATATATATATATATATATATATATATATATATATATATATATATATATATATATATATACATATATATATATATATACATATATATATATATATATATATATATATATATATATATATATATATATATATATATATATATATATATTATCAAATAATCCGTATTTTAATAATATCCTAATAATGATAATTTACTGCATAAAAGTATTATTATATTAAGTCATAAACATATTATAACTGACATTTGAGAAACTTTTGTATATTTTACTGTAAATAAAACTTAAAAATGTTACATTAGCACATATTAAAAATCCTTTAATTATTTATCTAGAAAACTTTGAAAGTATATTTTTAATAATATAAACAATATGATAAAAATTATGTGTTGTTTTCAATTTGTTACAAATAAAAAGACATCGCACTTAATTTAATTTAAAAGACATTATCTCTTAATTTAATATTGCCAATGCAATTTCATTTCTACGCTGCTGACCAAGAAAACGAAGTTGCTGTTCGTTTCTTTCTTCAAACAAAAAATACAATTTTTTCGACATCTTCATCCTCAAAAATCAGAATTGTTGAAAGTTTTTGAAATATTGTGCAGTAAAAAGCATGCAGTGATACATGCAGCAATCATCTCTGACTCAATTCTTACCTATAAAATTATTACACCACAGTTACTGTTGATTGAATCAAACACTTTTCTATTAAGCTCTTCAGCAAATTCTTAATAGGATTTATCAATTGAAACTGGAACTGAAAAAACATAGGTGCAATCAATAGCTGCTATTGTACAGGGCTTTTTTTTTTTTTTTTTTGCCCATGCCAGTTTGCTCTTAAAACTTATTCTTCTGTATCCAGCTTTGTCAAAATTTTTTGAATTGTCAAAGAGGCAGTTTTTGAAACAGTACTGCGATGAATCCCAGTTTTGTTTAAATTTCATTTATATTTAATTATAATACTCAACGTATACAAAAAATATATATATTGAACTAAACACTAACAAACTTTAGAAGACAACATGCGCAACTTTTTGCGCATGTATATATATACATATTATATGTATATATATACATATATTTATATATATGTAAAATTTTGGTCTAAGCAATATCCTAATTGTCTTGATGTTCTGCGCTCAATTTGCAGCAAAGTGAGTTGAGCAGTTAATGGTGTTAAACCGGTTATGCTTTTACCAGCAAACCAGCATTTCTCCACATTTAAAAGAATGATATACAATCTTTATAGTGAATGCAACGATAATCAATAATCTTTTTTTGAATTAAAGTAATCAGTTAAAGTACTTTTTTAATTATCTATGTTATCTTAACATTGTTGTAGTAACCTATTGTTATAATAATGTTATTAAGTCTGCAGCCATTTTAGATGTCTGTGTTATTACTGCTGTGTTCAAATATTGTTTTTAAGATAAATATATATTATTTTCTTTAAAAAAAATCAAATACAATGGTAATTTTTATTTTTTAAAATGTTGTTGCTTTTTATTTCAAAACATGGTCTATAAAGTGAATTCTATAAAATTTACCCCAAAAACAACAATAATACTTCCTTTCTTTATGAGGGTGTTATAAAGATTTATAACTACTTGAGGAAAAAAAACTTTTTTCAGTATCTTGTTATAATCCATAGGTAATAGAAAAACTATATTTTGCTAACTTATTCTCTGATACGGTTTCTAGGTTCCTACAAAACAAAAAAACTACACATTTTTATAATTGAAATTTTTACTCTAGTGCAAATACCAAAGTATTTGACAAATAAAAAAACCACTAAAACTGCTTTAATTTATAGGCTGACATATTAGCTATCATAATATTTCAAGTTTTTTGAATCTTGGATCTTTTTCTACATGCT